AACAAGATTGGGTTGAGGCTTTATTTGTTTTTTTTAAAGGAAAACCCCCTCAATTTAGTTTATAAAATGAAAGATCCCTATCTTCCATAGGAAATTCACAAATTTGTTTTTTTTTTTTTTTAAAAAAGAGAGCCAAACGCAATTTGAAGCATAGATCAGATCTTTGAAGAATTAAAAAACGGTCATTCCCAGAAGTATACATGTGCGGAATTTGAAACTAGTCTCAAAATCCTCAATTAAAAATATTAAATACGATTGAAGAAAAATCACTATTACCATAAAACTGAGGTCAGTTTTCAAACAGCCTTTAACAAATCAGTGCCATGTGTTTCTACAGGTAGTCTTCAACCTATGAGCACAATTGAGCCCCAAATTTCTGTTAAGTGAGACATTTGTTAAATGAGTTTTGCCTCGTTTTAAGACTTTTCTTGTCACAGTTGTTAAGTGAATCACTGCAATTAATAAGTTAGCAACCCAGTTAAGTGAAATCTGGCTTCCCCCATTGACTTTGCTTGTCAGAAGGTCGCAAAAGGGGATCACGTGACCTTGGGACACAGCAATGGTCATAAATACGAACCAAGCATCTGAATTTTGATCACATGATCCTGGGGATGCTGCAAAAGTCATTAACGGTGAAAAACAGCCATAAGTCACATTTTTCGGTGCAGCTGTAACTTTGAATGGTCACTAAAAGAACTGTTGTAAGAAGAAGACTACTTGTACTAGTCTTATACCTCGTGAAATGGCTGTGGTATAATGACATGACTCCCTTGTTGAATCATCTGATGAACACACAGAAACCTCTGAAATAACAGATTGTATCAGCTTATAAAAGATGGCAGGAAGATTGACCGGAAGATCATGTTCCCTTAGAAGCAATGTTTAGATTCATTACTAAGACTGCAGAGGATTTTCATTCAGCATCACCAATTGACCTACCTTCTATTCCTGGGGAGGACAACACTGAAAGTTAAATAATGGCCAAGCTTATTATTTTGTTAGACTTGCAGCAGGTGACCTCACCACTCATTTATGCTGATGCAATAAAGCCTCGTCACAAACAGGTCCTTTAAATTAAGGGATTATCTATTTTGATTTGCCTAACTCCTTATTTGGAAAACACAGACAACTAATGTCCTTTCTAGATCCTTTCTTAAAAGGTAGATAACCAACAAGAGGGAAAGCAATACTAATCAAGGAGAGAAGCAACCTAGAACTAAATTTCCTGACAGAACAATTAGTCAGTGGAACAACATGCCTCCAGAAGTTGTGAATGCTCCAACACTGGAAGTTTTTAAAGAAGAGATTGGACAAATCTGACAAGACAAGATTGGTCTGAAATGGTATAGGGTTACCTGCCTTAGCAGGAAATATTCAACTGCCTGAGCAGGGGTTGGAACTACTACAAGACCTCCAATGTCCCTTCCGACTCTGTTATTCTGTATGAAGTTGTGGGCCCTACACGGTAGATACTTGTTTCAACTCAATTATATAGTCCACATCATAACTCAGATGTTAGCAGGATCTTTCCTTCCAACGGAGAAGAGGCAGAATCACACTGCTTTTTATTACTAGATGCATCACTGAAAGTTTGTTTGCACGCATTGATTTTTCTGTGCTTTTAAAAATAACTGCCCAGAAGATGAAAACAATTGGCGTAAAGAAACATCAAATATAAAATAAAATAAAATATTAAACAGAGAAGACTGAAAGTTGTACCATTGTCCTGCAAGGTAGGAAAAGATAGCTCCATGTAATTAAGCCTGTACAATTCTTCACCTGATGTGCGGTTGAAGTACAGCTTCCAGCAACCCTAGCTAGCACTTGATTCTCAGTTCTGGACTGGAATATGAATTAAATGAGGTTCAATGCCTTATGACACGGCTATAGCAGGTTTGTGAACAGCATTTATTTATATAAGCAGAGATGGAAGTTATAGCTCATTATAGTTCATATTCAAATGTGAATAGATTATCATCACCTATATCAATTCCAACATACATACTGCCCTCATCCTTGCTCCATTGCCATATGAAAATTCTAAGAGAAATTTGTATAATGACCTGTTTTTTTATTAGCATACACAGGTCTTTTCATCGAATGTATCTTTTCTTTTATGTATACTGAGAGTATTTGCACCAAGACAAATTCTTTGTGTGTCCAATCACACTTGGCAAATAAAGAAGTCAGTCAGTCAGTCAGTCAGTCAGTCAGTCAGTCTGTCTGTCTGTCTGTCTGTCTATCTATCTATCTATCTATCTATCTATCTATCTATCTATCTATCT